TGTCATTTACTATATTTTATTTATTTCAATCTCTGCTTGCAGAAAGGTACTGTGGTTGAGAAGTTGGTGGAAGAAACAGCAAGCAATGATCAGCATTTAAGACATCTGATTAGCATATGTGAAGGTAATTAGTGAGGCAATTGCTTTGAGGTAGCAAAGCTTTTCACTCTTCTTCTAAATGTGAGGCTAATTGATTTACTGGAATTTTGTAGCTCAAAGGCAAGTTGGTGAAACTGCCTTAAATGATACTAGCTCACGGTCACACCAAATAATAAGACTGGTATGAATGATGATTTATGTTGTTTCTTTTTAACTACCTTAATGCCTTGTGGAAGCTAACGCTTGGATTTGTTTGGCTGACAATGTAGACAATTCAAAGTACTCTGCGTGAAAATTCTGATTGTGTGAGATCATTTGTTGCAAGCCTGGTAAGGATGTCTTATCACTTCTCTACCTTAATCAAAAAAAATGAATAAATGGGAATTTCACAATCCACTCTTGCTTTAGTAGTTGTTTGATAGAAGGTCAAGGTTGGGGAGGTTTAACTTGTTCTCCCTCAACCTTATCCAAATGAACCCCAAATTTCTGTATGAATTCTTTTTCCTGATGAGAAACTGTTGGGGACAACACTTGCAGAACTTTGTGGATCTAGCTGGAAGTGAAAGAGCTTCACAAACGCATGCTGATGGTGCAAGACTCAGGGAAGGCTGTCATATTAACCTTAGTTTGATGACTCTGACAACTGTAATCAGAAAACTCAGGTCAGAATATATCCTTGCATATTTGTTGCACATTTATATTTCTTGAGTATTGTTCCTATATCTGTCTTAAACTTTTCAGTGCACTGTGGAATAAAGTCTTCCTATGATGAATGGAGAAGAAAATAATATAACGGACTTCTAAAATTAAAAATATACATATTTTAATATTTGATGGTCGACTACATCAACTATTTAATCTCCCTTGCATCTAGAGAAACTGAATCTCCTTGATGTCTCGTAAATGTCACAAGTTTTATACGTGACTGCAGAATTGATACTTCAATAACATTAGCTGCAAGGACATGGACATTATAACTTTGTGCAGAACAGAATTTCATCTCTTAACTAGATGTCCATTAGAACTTTTGGCCAACTTCTAGTTGATTAAAGCTACGCAGACATGGACAGATTGAAGGCAAACTTCCATATTAATTTATCATGATTGATTTTGCCCCATGTGTTGATGAACTATTCCTATTTGTAGCGTTGGAAAAAGAAGTGGTCATATACCATATCGAGACTCGAAGCTTACTCGTATATTGCAGCACTCACTGGGTGGAAATGCACGTACTGCCATCATATGTACTTTGAGTCCAGCGCTGAGTCATTTTGAACAATCTCGTAATACTCTCTTCTTTGCCACCCGGGCCAAGGAAGTGACAAATAATGCACAAGTCAATATGGTACCTACTTTACAAGACTGACATGTATTTTGAAATGAAGTTTTCTTTTCTTTTTTTTTCTTATGAATTTCTAAATGAATGGACATGTTCTTTTGAAAACATTATTAGGTTGTTTCAGATAAACAACTAGTCAAACATCTGCAGAAAGAAGTAGCCAGGCTAGAGGCAGAGCTTCGCACCCCTGATCCATCTGGGGAAAAGGACTTAAAAATACAACAGGTACTATAAGCTATTCAAGATTGGCTTCATTTTGAATCATTTTTATTTTGCAAATGAAACCATAAGTAATCATGTGTTATGTTTTTGATTTGTAGATGGAAATGGAGATTGAAGAACTGAAGCGCCAAAGAGATCTTGCACAGTCTCAGGTGGATGAGTTACGCAGGAAACTTCAGGAGGATCAGCAGGTTCCCTCTCTATCCCTGCTTATCAGCCTCTCTTTTCTTTGTCTCTGTATTTCTTGATTATTTCCAACTTTTTTGTCTGTTTAATTTGTCTCTATATAGATCTCAAACCCACTTGAATCAGCACGTCCATCAGTAAAGAAGTGCCTATCTTATTCTGATGTGTTGTCCCAAAAACTTGATGGTAAGGAGATTGGCCGCAATGATAGAACAAGGAAAACAATGTTAAGGCAGTCTATGCGGCAATCATCAACTGCTCCTTTCACACTTATGCATGAAATTCGTAAACTTGAACATCTTCAAGAGCAGCTTGGAGACGAAGCAAATCGAGCTTTGGAAGTACTTCAAAAAGAGGTGGCTTGTCATAGACTAGGTAATCAAGATGCAGCTGAGACAATTGCCAAGCTGCAGGCAGAAATAAGGGAGATGCGTTCTGTCCGGTCAATTCCAAAGGAAGTCGAAGTTGGAACTGCTATAGCTCCTAACAAAAGTGTTAGTGCTAATCTTAAGGAAGAGATAACAAGACTTCATTCACAAGGTAGCACAATAGCTGACCTTGAGGAGCAGTTAGAGAATGTTCAGAAGTCAATAGACAAATTGGTAATGTCTCTTCCAGGCAATAATCAGGAATCCAACTGTGAAGCAACCCCCAAAACTAAGAGTCAATCTAAAAAGAAGAAGTTGCTTCCTTTAGCTTCTAGTAATGTTGTGAACCGGCAAAATTTTATAAAATCTCCATGCTCACCTCTATCAACCTCTCGGCAAATTTTGGAGCCTGAGAATGAAGAAAATAGACCTCCAGAGGATGATGACATTGTCTCCAAGGAGACTCTCCCAGAGTCTGAGAAAGAAACACCTGTGAAGAGTGAAGAGGGTGGAGATGTCTCATCAAAGGAAGGCACTCCAGGATATAGGCGTTCAAGTTCAGTCAACATGAGGAAAATGCAGAAGATGTTTCAGAATGCAGCTGAAGAGAATGTAAGAAGCATACGAGCATATGTAACAGAACTGAAAGAGCGTGTTGCCAAGCTACAATACCAGAAGCAGCTACTTGTTTGTCAGGTATAATAATTGTCTATGCCCTTTCTATATGATTTAGCTTGCATTTGTTTTTCCATTTGTTGGGAACTTATTTAGTTTTTGACTTGCATTTTAGGTGCTTGAGCTGGAAGCAAATGAAGCAGCTGGATACAATATAGAGGATGATGAGAGTGCCATTGAAACAGAGGAACCCCAAGTTGCATGGCATGTAACCTTCAGGGAGCAAAGGCAGCTGATCATTGAGTTATGGGATGTCTGCTACGTCTCTATCATTCATAGAACACAGTTTTATTTGTTATTCCAGGGGGATCCTGCTGACCAAATATACATGGAAGTGGAGCTTAGACGCTTAAATTGGCTGCAGGAGCATTTTGCAGAACTTGGAAATGCAAGCCCAGCTCTTGTAGGAGATGAGCCCTCAGTATCTTTGTCATCAAGGTTCTCTCTCTCTCTCTCTCTCTCTCTTGCTTGAACACATAACACAGTCCCCTTGGAACTTCTAGAACTTGTTGAAAGTTATGCCTGCTTTCTTCTTGCAGTATTAGAGCGCTGAAGCGTGAAAGGGAATTCCTTGCAAAGAGGTTGACCTCACGCCTGAGTGTGGAGGAGAGAGATGCATTGTACATAAAATGGGATGTGCCACTGGACGGAAAGCAGAGGAAACTACAATTCATAAACAAGCTGTGGACTGATCCTCATGATGCAAAACACATAGAGGAGAGTGCTCAGATAGTGGCAAAGCTGGTAGGGTTCTGCGAGGGTGGTAACATGTCGAAAGAGATGTTTGAGCTCAATTTTGCTCTACCAGCTGACAAGAGGCCTTGGGTTGTGGGGTGGAATCAAATATCAAACCTTCTTAATTTGTAAGAGAAAGAAAGCCTTTTTGGTTTGTAAGTAGTTCCAATTTGTGTACATGTAATTGAATTTTTGGAGTCCTTTCTCCAGATGTCCTAGTTTCATCCATTGCAGTGTGACCAATCAAGCACACTGTGTGTGAGGATTGTTTAAGCTATTCTTTGTACTCTTTATGTTTCAATAAAGGCTTCTGGCATTCTCTTCTCATTTTCTTCCCTTTCCGGATGGTGGGTTGTGTTGTGGTTTGCATTTCAAGAATGGGCCAATGGGGGCAATTCCCCCCGGCCCACTGAAACCATTTATTGCATATTTAAGAAATGATTTTTGGTAGTATTTTTTTATTATAAAAACAAATTATTTTATTTCATGAAAACGACATATTAGGCCATTATTATTTTTCAATATCATTTATATTCTTCATACCATATAATTTCACTAAAAAAATACCATATTATTTAATTTAGTACTGAAACCATAACCTAAACATCATGTCCTCGTATGTTTGGTGGCTAGAGAATTGTCATTGGTTATAAATGTAAGCATGGTTGACTGTAGCAAACTTTTATAAGGAATCCAATGGTACCTTCTATGTAAGAGTTAGAAAGATTAAGGTGAAAGGTAAACTCTCTCGTCTTTAAAGAAAAATCACTCTCTTTCCATTTTTAGGTGAAAGCTCTTTTATGGTGAAAAGTATTATCATTACTCGATTTTGTAGTAATTTTTTATCATAAATTTTTAGATATTAATGTCTTTTAAAATGGGTATGTTTTCTTCTGGTTCTTCATTATTGCTGCTTATTCGCTGGAGTAGATGCAAGAAGTGAAGAATTAAGTGGTAATTTTGTCAAGAAGATTGTAATGACTTCCAGAAAGCATTTCTGGGAAGAAGCTCTTTGCTCCCTGAAGGAGCTTCCCAATTCAGAATCATGATGCCATTGAGCTTTTCAAATGCTGGGTTTAGGCTATTTTTGGTTCTGTTGTTCTGTCTGATCAGGTCCATTGGAAGGGGTTTCCATGTTGCACATAAGCAAATGGGACATGGAATGGTCCTCTAAAGTATTAGAGATAAAGATTAATCCTGAGACTGTCAGAATTCAATATTTCAATAGTGCAGAACAAATGATAAATCGTATCATAATCGAAACCAACTGAATTGCTGACAATGGACATGGGAATAATCTCGAAGGCTGATCAGATTGCATTTGTGTGTGAGGAAAGAGAGAAATTCAGAGAGAGAGAGAGAGTCAGAAGGAGATGTTTTGATAATGATCCAACACTGATATTCATTAAACATAGTGCGTCTGCAACAACTAGTAGTATATATGATAGATCACACATGAATAAAGTCAACAAATTGGTGACATGAGACCATGACCCCAACATTATTCCCATCACAGCTAACCTCACTGCTTATACTACAGACATCAAAACAAGATATACCACACCAGAACTATAATAATTAATTAATTTCTCCCTATCCTCCAGCCTTAAGACTCTTTTGTTTCTAGATTAATCCATGTTCTGCAGAGAAATAGAGAGAAGAGAGCCTTAAAACAGGTTCAGTCACCTAGCACCTTGGGAAGGGAGTACCACAAGTGCTAGCAACCTTCCTGGCATTGGGGGTGTTAATGAATCTCTTAAGGTTGGGGTTCCTAAGGTATTGGCAAAGGCAAGGCTTCTGTTCCTTGATCTTGCTGCAGCACAGTTTAGATGGTGGAGATGAAGATGTTATGGCACTCACGCAAGAGCTCAGCTGTGTTGGGCTGCATGTCACTGCCATTGAGACCTGGGCTTCAGCCAGGAGGAGCACCACCACGGCACACAATGCAATACACGATGCCTTCATTTTTTGGTTTCCCTTCTCTTTCTATGTGTAAAAGAACTTAAGAGTGTGCTTTGTGGGAAGAAAATTTTTGTATATGATGCTTGCTGCAATTCCCTTGGTTTCCCTCCCAATTTATAGAGGGAGGCTTGGTAAAATGGTAATGTCAACTTCATGTAGCATTTAATTACCTCTTACTTGACTTTAACTTGGTTGCCAGGGAAAAAGCTAGTTGTACAATACATTGAGTTTGGCCCACTTCTACAATAAATTCGGTGCCTTATTTAAATGAAGAAATTCGTAGAATGTGAGAGAGAAAACTACTTGATCCAATGATTTCAAGTCACTAACAAAAGAGAGAACATTAATGGGAAAAGAATGGCCAAATGATTTCAGGACATAGCTTTCCACTTTTGCTTCTTTCCCCTCCCTTTGTGTCTGCTAAGCTTCTCTAAATTATTGAAGTAACCAAGACAACTCTTGAAAGGTCTCAAATAGCAAGGTCGCTAAGGAAACAATTTTAAAGATTTTTCCACGATTTGGTGTGAACAGAATGAAAATCACTTGAAATATAAGCTAAAACCTTTTCATTAGTGTCAAATCAAAGGTTAACAGATAAATAGATCACGATCGCCACCGAAATGAGGTGTGCCTTTGTCATTGTCCTCCACTAATCCACGCATGTACCATACGCTTACAAGTCCTGTGAAATTGGAGGATTTAGACTTTTGCTTCCTTCTTAGCTGTCAAACTTTATTCAAAATTCATGAAACTAATTGGTACCAAATGTCTTCTTGAGTTAATTGAGGATTTTCTGTTGATCGAATGATTAATTTCTCTGTAAAATGAGAATTGGTGGTCTCAATATGTTCGGTACGTATTGGTGATTGGGTTTATGTGGTAAATGACTCAAGGATTGGTTATAATGATGCGTTTGTAAAAATGAGTATTGATCTCAATGCGTTCAGTGTGGTGTTGGTGACTGGATTTATAATGTAATGATTCAATGCCTGGTCATATGTTGAGGCCAAATACCTCAACGAATGCCTTGCAAATATGGAGATTGATTAGACCCACTATGCCTATGTGCTTGATTATGAGAATTTTTCCTTGGTTCAACTCATAATTTTTTTTGTTATGTGTTATGTAACGAGTTTCATTGTAATTATCATTTTTCTGATTAGTTAGGTGTTGTTTCTAATGAGTTATGTTTGTCTTTTCAATTCAAAATCTTGGACTGTAAAATTTTGTATACTCTTTTTTATTGATAAAATAGACTTATTGGAACAAAAATAAATAAATAAATAAAAATAAAAATTGAATTAACCCGCTTTAATCTTATAAACTATATCTCCTTGTCCCACGATTTTAAACCTTGACACTAATTTTACATGATTATTATTGAAACAAATGCTTAAATGTTCCTAAGATGATTAAATGTAACCCACAATGATTGATATGATTCATGTTCTATGATAGCGCCGCACCCAGCAAGCTGTGCCTCAAATTCTTTAGTGGATGCAGGGAAACTTGATCCCCCAAAGAATATTGTAGAGAAAGCCAATGATTGCCTTTGGTAAAAAATGAGTCTAAAGTATGACCGAGACCGTAACCCCAACATATAAAGAGAGATGATAGAACTTACCCCCATGATAAATCATTTCCATATCCCCTTTGATGGATACAAATTTTTGCATGATGACTTATCATTATTTTCCGTATCCCAGTTCTATATCGAGGAAATTGTGAGAAAAAGGCCTTAGGTGATTTCAAAAATAACCAATAATATAAAGTTATCTGTTTCTAACCACTAAAAAGCATGAGTAGACTAAAATGCCCTTAAAAACATCGTGGCAAGTTAAGCTCCCGATATCTCCCTCCAGCCAGAGAGAAAATAGAAATAAATGCTCAGCTGTTTGAGGTCGCTTATCTTTCTCTCTCAACTTTCTGAACTGTATTAACTCTGTTAAGCACCATTGTCATCAGCTCGCTCAACTCTCTAAACTGTATGAGCTCTGTCAACTCTCTATTGAGCA